TGTGTGTGTGTGTGTGTGTGTGTGTGTGTGTGTGTGTGTGTGTGTGTGTGTGTGTGTGTGTGTGTGTGTGTGTGCTTGTTTTGGTTACAGAGTGAGAACCATGTTAGGTTTTTAATCAACAAAGTGAGGTCATTTTTGGAAAGTGGGGACGTTTTCTCTGTCCACACTTCATTTGCAGCTCTGCTGTGCTTTACTAGTTAGGTTTAGAGTAGAGGTGCCCAAAGTGGGGCCCGCGGGCCAAAATTGGCCTGCAGAACCATTTGATTTGGCCCACCAGCAGTTGTCCTGGTTGCTAGATTGTAATTATGTTAAGATTAAATATATTTTTTCTTTTTTTTTCTTGTTTTTCTTTTACTTATCTTTCTTTATTCTATCTCGCCCTGTCCTGTTTTGAGCTGCTGTAATGTGCAAATTTCCCCACTGTGAGATCAATAAAGTTTTATCTTATCTTATCTTATAAAATACAAGTCACTACAAGAGACATTTAGATTAGATTTAAGCCAATATATAGATTTGCACACCTTATAAGACCACATATACTTCCATGAGCCTTTGCTGCCTGAGCATACGTTGAATTTTCTCCATGTCCATGGGCTGAAAAAAAAAATAACTAAAGAATGTGAGCAACCACACTGACTGCTAGCTTAATCATAAAAAATAAAACAACTTTACTTAAGTATTTGCATTTCTTATATTATTGCATTTAGCCCGCGGCCCTCATATTGATTTTAATTTTGGCCCTCTCAGGAAAAACGTTTTTTTTTTTTTTTAAATTTTGGCCCTTTTAGGGAAAACTTTTTTTTTTTAAATTTTGGCCCACTTAGGGAAAATGTTTGGGCACCGCTGGTTTAGAGGTATTGTGTGAATTAAGTTTTGGTTCAGGTTAGAGTTAGCTATAGACCAGTAATGGTTAATTTTAGGGAAAATGTCTGGGTTAGGCATAAATACAGTTACAAAAATGAATGGACGTCAATACAAAGTCCTCGGTTTGATGCAAATACAAGGATGTGTGCGTGGTCACGTTTTTGTTACATCGTGAGAACCATTTTCCAGAAAGAGGTAACCTCGTGGGGACCAGTGGTTCGTGTCCATTTATATCTCTTACCCCTAATTAGGGGTCCAAGCCCGAGGAAGCAGGGTAACGCAGCTGCAAAGCAGCAGCGTTTCCATGTCTCCATCGGAGCATGGAACCCTATTGTATCTGTTCCGTTTTTTATTATTATTATTATTATTATTATTATTATTATTATTA